CTTTGGAGAAGTAATGAATTTTCCAATGTATTGTACAATTGTGGTTCACTTCTCCAACCGAGGATTAATGTCTATATGCAATCTTTTATGTCCAGATCCGGTGTTTGCGGCGTGATGGTAATGGCCTTTACCGAGTCACAGATGCAGAACTTGCCATTGCAGTCCGAGTGTGCATATGAGAACATGGCAGCGAAAAGATGTGAATTCGCAATGAGGCACTGAACTTTGAGGAAGCGATCCACTTAGACTACTTTGGGACTCTATGTTTAGTGTTGGATGTGTTTGGTTGTTAAATGTAGGAGGCTGTACAATGTTACACTAACAATGTTGTACAATGTCCTAGAATGTACTCCCAAATATTCAATAATTTGGTATGCCTTTTCGTTTTTGTGGCAAACACTTACTTTTAATGGTGTTAATATATACGGAGGATGTCTTTTCCTGTGAAGAAGAAAAATCTTGTTTGTGCTGTAATACGACTTTGTATGTGCTTTGTGTCGTTGTTGTCTGTGCTATGTATGCGCTCTTACATCCACTTAAGATATTTTTTAGTTTGGTAACATTAGCTAAACTAGCTAGCTGTTTCACTACTAGAATGATGTTAACACATTTTCAGGTATTTGCAATGTCCCCATGATTTTCAGTACTATAAGAAATAAGAATGTTATCTGAAAATGATTTTTGCATATTGGACATCCAGAATAAGAGCTGCTACGAGTGCCCCTTGATGACCAGGACTATCAATATTTATATAAATGCAAGTTGATAACGTATTATATATATAATTTATATAAAGAGTGCCCCTCTCCACAAATTATGTTAAAAGAAGACATGGAAAGTTGATAATACTACCTCCGTCCCTTAAAACTTTGCCAATTTTCCTTTTTTGGATGTCCCACTAATTTTGCCACTTTCCCATTTAAGTAAAGAATTTGTGATTCCAGTTAATTCTCTCTCCTCTGCACAAACCTCAACCACACAGTTTTTACTTTATTAATCCCCGTGCCGGTCAAACTTGGCAAAGTTTTAAGGGACGGAGAGAGTAGTAAATATACTAGACTAACTACGAAAAGAATTCAATTAAAAAAAACCATTTGATTTAGAAAATTATTATGTACGCAATCCATGACCGAGCAAGTGAAAACGCCTCCAACAAAGAAAATGGCAACTGCTCTAGTCAAAACCCACACACCAAATATGCACATTTCAGAAGTATATATACACACATGCAGGCTAAATGTGCATACACAGGCACTGGTACACTTACACATAGACAGAAGTATATATACACAGAGACAAAACTATATTTACACAGACATTTCAAATATAAGTTTATTTACACAAAGACATGAGTAAATTTAAAACATTTTAAACACAGACATGACTATATACACATCACAAACACATTGACAATATTATACACTGCACACAAACACTACAAATACAGAGAATTGTCTGTGAAGAACAAACATTTATTTACGTTCAAAGCTAAGCTAATGAAATCAAATACATAAACGATCTAACATCAACACACACTCATACGAAGCTCAGGGATGTCGTCCAAGGAGGCCGCCACCACTTCTCCGTCATCTTCAGTCACCGGAATTTCTCCTTCAGCTCGAGAAGCATCAGTCGTTTGCTCCAATTCAGCCCAAAATTCGTCTGTTGTAATGATCGTTTCCTTCACAAAGCCACCAAAATCCATTGATTTTGAGGAGAGGAGGTGCTGGCGTCGATGTGCTGCGGGAAGAAGAAAAAAACGATGAAGGGGGAGAGAGGAGAGAGGCTGGGGTTTCAATTTCACGTGAGGGAGGAAGGGGTAAAAAATGGTAATTTTTGGGCCTATTTATAGTGTGTAGGTGTGTGTATGAGTTTTGTGTACCCCAAGCCCAATTGAAAATTTGAATAGTAATTGCTGCGATCTTCCTGCATCCGCAGCGAATACACTAAATTTACGGACTAATTGATGTTGTTTCCCAATAACCGCTGCAAATAAGGAGCCGCAAATGACGCAAATAAGTAAAATTGATGATAATCGTGACATTATTCTTATCTTGCATATTTTATGATCATGTAAAATTTATTTTAAGATATCAAATGGAGTATGTAGCCTTGAATCACGACCTACATACCCGCAAGACTGCGCATCGTATGGGCCCCTCGGTGAGGACGAGGGCACCATCAATCAAAAGGGCTCAAATCACTCATGCAAGCTTCTAACTCAAGTTGACATGATCACACTTATATAGATGTCCCCTCTCTCATGAAGGGTACATTGCCACCACCAAGATGAAGGCAACAATACACTCTACCACTTACACATCGACGAGGACATCATGCTCCTCGTTCACACACATGCGTCTTATCAAATGTAGCATAACTTCACCTATAAATTAGTTAATGCATGTACTAACATTTAAAATGTTTGAAGAGGTGTGAGGTAAGCACTCCAAATTTGTATATGTAATTTAAATACCCCAAAATTTATATAAATAGTTATTTTAGCATCATAGTCATGTATTGTTTTTTCTTAAATGTCAATTTTTTGTGTTAATTTCATAAATTAAAATATTTTAGCATTCATAAAGATACAATTAACATACTAAGCTTCCATTGTAAATTAAATAGTATTAACCCCTACTCTATATAATTGAAAAGTTTTCAATTTGATATTTTAAATTATGCAATTAACATCATAAATTTACATACCATGGTGTTATAATAACATTTTATATAAAGTTTAGGGTATGTAAATTACATATGCAAGTTTGGGGTGCTTACATCACACTCCTTCATAGTTTGGGTTTTTTTTTAATTATTTTCCCCTAAAATGTTTACTTAGATGACCAATATCATTAATTAGATTTTCCTTATTTTTAGAATATCATTAATTATATTAGGGGTCAAGTATGCTATCAATATCTAAATATAGAAATGTAGATTGAATTTGACTTTGCATTCCATTTTTGAACGATATTTGATTTTGCACCATATTTTCAAAACGATCAATGTATGCATCATATATTATTCTAAAATCATTTGATTTTGTACAATATTTGATTCTGTACGCTATTTCTAAATAGATTATGGGTAATACAAGCTACACATTAGGAATTTCGATAATAAGATGTAAAGTTCAATACCATTAAAATTATGTAGTGCAAATTCTCTTATAAAGAAAGTGAGAGTTTTTCTATGTTATAAGAACCGAACCGGATCGGACGGATTGATCTGGAACCTGGCCACCCGGAGCCCAATCCAGTCTGGTTGTACCCCAATCCACAAATATGGCCGAAACCGGAAAATCTCGCCGACTCTGACCGGCCCAAACCCGAAAATCACATAAAAACCATATTAAATTCAAAAAATCGGCAACTAAGGGTTGGTTTGCAAATGTTTTAAAAAAACACTTCCCAGCTTTTGGCTTTAAAAAAGCACTTATTTTACCAAAGCTACAACTTTTATTTTTCTCGTCTTTCGTGTCAAAAGTGTTTTTACTTTTTCTATTACACAAAAAGCACGTATTTTATCAAATACTACCAATTTTTATTTTTCAAAATCACTTTTTTCTCAAAAACTATTGACTTTTATTTAATCACTTCTCCCCATTTCATTAAAAAAAACACTTTTTCTAAAATAGAAGCTGTTGCAAATAGACTCTAAGGGATTTGGACCCTAGTGTAACTGGTGGGGAATTAGGCGTCATTCCAACAAGTTGCTTCAGAGTGTTTGTTCAATGTGTTACTTGACCATATCTTTGTATTTTGTACTCCCTCCGTCCCTTAAAACTTTGCGAAATTTGACCGGCACAGGGATTAATAAAGTAAAAATTGTGTGATTGAGGTTTGTGCAGAGGAGAGAGAATTATCCGGAACCACAAATTATTTACTTAAATGAGAAAGTTACAAAGTTAGTGGGAGTGGGAGTGTGGGACATCCAAAAAAGGAAAGTTGACAAAGTTTTAAGGGACGAAAGTAGTATCAGTTTTAAAATGTCAATAAATACATAACATCATTAACAAACAGTAGATGCTGCTACTAATATTATAATCGAGAATATTCATACAATATTTCATTTTTTAATAAGCATCATATTCATATTGGGAGAACTATCAAATAAGCCCTCGAATTTTCATAAAAAGTGCAAATGAGCCCTTTTACACGAGGCTTTATCCGGCTGTTGCCATTTGGGACGGTTTCCGGTTGAATTTTTTGATGAAAGTTTTTAAGCATCTTCTTAATTAAGTCTAGTTTACCCATACAAAATTTCAGCTAAAACTTCAATCGAGAAGGCAGTCAAATGAATTTCTGAAGTATACTGCGTTGCCTAACTGCGCAGTTATCTTCAAAAATTCATTTGACTGCCTTCCCGTTTGAGTTTTTATCTTAAATTTGGTATGAGTAAACTATACTTAATGAAGACGATTCTAAAAAAACTTCATCAAAAAAATGCAACGAAACCATCCCAAATGGCGACGGCCGGACAGAGTCTCCTATAAAAGGGCTTATTTGCACTTTTTATGAAAGTTCGAGGGCTTATTTGGTAGTTCTCCCGATTCATATTCAATATCCAACTAATTTAACATACATTTTATATTTTGTTAAAAATTGTATATTTTAAAATATAATTCCATTTCTACGTTGACCGGGGTTTTCAGGGTTGACCGGGTTGACCCGTGACACGATCGTTTGGTTGGATTACTTATCGGTTTGGTTTTTACAACATAGACTTTCTTTGAAAGTTGTAGGAAAACTGTCATATAGGTTCTCAAACATTCATAAAAAAGTCAATTAAGTCCTTCTATTTCGGGCGGTTCCCGGTGGAATTTTTTGATGATTTTTTTTGAGCATCTTATTCATCAAGTCTAGTTTACTCATACCAAATTTCAGCTAAAAATTCAATTGTGAACGCATTCAAATTAATTCGAGAACACAAAAATACGCAGTTATCTTCAATAATTAATTTGAATGTGTTCCCGATTGAATTTTTAGTCCAAGAATGTGCCAGTTTTATTAGATGCAAACGGGTAGGGTGGTTTGAGAATAAACGGATATTACAGCCCCTATCTACAATAGGATAAAATTATAAAAATTACTCCGTAGATTTCTAAGAAAAACCTTTGAACTCGGTCCACCCACTTCATTCCAGTGAACTGGAGGAGCTGTTCGAACAAAATTAGGAATGCCTCAAGCATTGATTTTCCTAAAGCCATTTATCTCTCCTCCGTTATCTTCTTCTCTTTTCAGGTTTGCTCTTTTCCCCAGCTCAGCAGTATAAAAAATCGCTTGTTCAGTTTTTTTGTCCTAACATTGGTGTTAAAAAATGCATTTGAATGTTATAATACCTGCTTAGCATCAAATAGCTGCCCTGATTTCATCCCAAGATAGTCCGGGATGTGGTTTTGAGTATCTATCGTGCATAAATGTGCCACTGCACCAGCCTTTTCTTTAATAGCATATATAGTATTCCGTATGCAAATTCTATTTTGTCTCCCCCATATCTGGATGTAGATTCTGGTCTGTTTGGATCCAGGAAATTGCTTGGGAAAAGAAATAAAATGCCAGGAAAAGGAAACATGATTGTTGCTTTTATTTTTTTTCTAGCATATTTTAGTTCAACATTTTTCACCAGGGAAACAAAATTGTGGTGTTTGACACAATGCTTTATTTTAGTTTCTTCCCCATTTTCTTTCCCTAGCATTTTCCTTGTTTCGGAACCCAAACACACTGATAGGGAAAGTTTGTAAGAATATGAATTACTCTCTCCATCTCTATATAAAGGTCCCCATTCATTTTACACACATTTTAAGCAAGTGGGATTGTTTTACACTGTTTGGCACGGTTTTGTTTACCAAAAAAGGAAAGAGGACTTTTATTTAGGGACGGACTGAAAAAGAAGTAAGGACGTTTATTTAGGGACGGAGGGAGTATTAAGCAAACTAAAATATCAGTTCAAACACAATAGATTTAGAGCCTGTTTGGTAACACTGAAATCGGCTGAATTGACTGATTCTGCTGAAATTTATGAAGTTCTGGCTGAAGTGTCTGTATTGGCTAATTTTGTTGATTTATGAAAAATTATATTTAAAATGTACTCTCTCCAGTCCTAAATACTCTTCATGGTTTGACTTTACGGTTTCTAAGAAAGTGGAATTTTTTGTTTTGACTTTCCCACCATACCCTTACAAAAAGTAGATAAAGTGTACTGGGAGTGAGAAAGTGGGTGTGATGTAGGTAATAAAGTAAGGGTATAAGGGTAACTTTATATTAAAAACTTGCCAAATATAGAAGTGTGAAATTTATTTTGGACCTACCAAAAAAGGAAAGTGTGAAGTTTATTTAGAACTTGAGGGAGAATTTAATAATAAAATAAAGAATTTAAAAAAATAGCTAAAATGGTCATCTACTGTAACTTCAACCAATACAGCCAGAAAAGTAACTTCAACCTTACTTTTTCTTATTATTATACAATTCATCGCGCGAAATCAAAAGTTATGTGTGTGCTTAAAAATTTGGCTAATAAGCCTGATATGCCGATAAACAGAGTCACCAAATGAGCTCTTATTTATACTCCCTTTGTCCCTGAAGAACTTCCTTGTTTCAATAACACAGGCTTTAAGGAATAACTTTTTTACTTTCTAAAATGTCTTTTTTACTGTGGTTAAATATTACTGGTTAAATATTATTGTAGAGTACATTGTTGACCAAATAAGAAAAGAGAACTTCATTTAGGCACATCCCAAAAAGAAAACAATAGAGTTCTTTAAGGGACAGGTATAGTATTGTTTGTTGAAACCTTATGTTTTTTTTATTGTCTCAGCTATACTTGGTTTGAAGACTATGAAATTGAAACATGTGTAATAGTTTAAAAATATACTAGTCACATTTCCTTTGCATGATCTAGGTGAAACAAAACATGATCAGTAAAATAACATTCCTTTTCTTTTTATTTATTTTCTAGCATTTTGCGGGATCCAAACATAACCTAACCAAAGGCAGAACTGGTTGGGCTGTGATAAAAATGTTGATATATGTAATGCAGTAATCTGAGCATTAATGTGGACATATTGGGTACAAGCATGTTGAAGCAGCCCAAAAGGGATGTGGTAGTGTGCCAGGGAATGTTGGCACCCAGGAAGTTCTTGCAGAGGAGGAGAAAGAAGGTGGCTGAAGTGTTTAAGAATGCTGAGGATGAATTAGATCAGAAGAAGTGGAGGAGACTAATGACCGAAATTGAGGAAACCGGTTCTGCTGTGACTGTGCTTAGAAGCCTTAGGGCCAAGAGTGAGTTGGTCCCTAGGGATCTCATTCTTGGGACGTTGGTTAGGTTCAAGCAGCTCAAGAAGTGGAATCTTGTTAGTGAGGTAGTATACACATTATCTTGTTTTTTGTAAGTGATTGCTAATTTTCCATTCCTCATGGATTTAGTTAGAGTAATTATTCTCTAAACTATAGTTTTGTAGTGCCCCTCTTATAGGGTCCTATTAGAACCTGGAAAATAATAGGCGGAAAACAGAGAAGGAAATAAAATATGAGAAAAGCTAAAGGATAGATCTAGCTCAATATATTTATTTTAGACATTCATTCAAACTCATTTCATTTTCTTCTTTCTATTATAAAGGCTATTTTTAAAAAAGAATTAATCGTTTTTTTCTTATGCATTATCCGAGTTAAAACCGAACATGTGGAAAAAGTTTTTCTTAGCATTCTTTTTGGCTTTCCCTAGTATTTCCATAGATCCAAACTTAGCTAAAGAGTTGTGTTTTATTAGCAGAACCAGGAAGCATTTTACTTCTGCTTCTGCTTCTTTTTTAATGCAGAATCAGAATCAGTTTTCAGAAGCTGGTACCCCCCAGTTTCTAAAAAAACTGATTCTAGGAGTAAATTAGAGCACCAGAATCACTTCTGCATTTTCACCCAAACACTCCTAACTTCTGCTTCTGCTCCCTCAGGGAGCAGAAGCAGTTTTAAGAATCAGATCCAAACACCCCCTTAACTTCTTAGCTCTTAGGCACATGTTATTTGTTAATAGTTGTATATTTACATTTATCAGTCCCCATAATAGAAGTAAATAAATAAATTGAGTTTGAACAAATATCTAATTTCAATTAATTGAGTTTTAGTTTATCCTTTTACCCCCTCCCAACTTTCTATTCGCCACCATATCTTCTCTCTCTCTCTAGTATTTTCTGAGGTTCAAATGACCTCCTTATTAGTCATGTTTTTTGGAACAACCAAAGCCATTTTACACCTGTTCTGTAATTGAACTTCTTAGCTGTTGAGTTTTTGTGCTCATGTTTTAACTTATATTAACAAAAATAATAATCATGGTTTAGATTCTTGAATGGCTTCGAACTCAGCATTGGTGGAAATTTAACGAAATGGACTTTCTAATGCTAATTACGGCTTATGGAAAACAAGGGGACTTCAATAAAGCTGAAAGGGTTCTGGGCTACATGAATAAGATGGGATATCCACAAAGCGTGATATCTCATACTGCTCTAATGGAAGCATATGGCCGTGGTGGTCAGATTAGCAAGGCAGAAGCAATATTTCGAAGAATGCAATCTTCGGGTCCTGAACCTTCTGCATTAACATATCAAATTATCCTCAAAACCTTTGTTGAGGTATTTATTTACTGTCTCTAATCTTGAGCCTGTTGGGGATAGCTTATGATGTAAGTCCTTTTGACGCTTTCTCATTTAAGCATTTTAAGTGCTTTCTTCTGAAATTAGCAATAAATCATCATCACCATCATCATGGTAGTCGATAGCGCAATATGGCGCGCGCGCCATGCGCCATGTGGCGCGAAAAACCCTCTGCGCTATGAAAAGGGGCTGTGGCGAGGTGTATACACATGGCGTCGCCATTCCTGCGCCTTCGCCATTTGGGCGCCATCGCCATGGCGTTTGCGTCGTCCAGTAGTCGTCTAGGCTCGATGTTGGCGAAGAAATCCTCGACTTATTCACAAGTCGAACCGCAGTGGCAAGCCCAGAACCAGATAAAATAGATTTAGGCCTTAATTAGGGCTAATTTAATTAAGGTTTCAGGCTTTAAATTAAAAGCTAAGCCCAAACTAATCTACCTTACGGACCATTCGTTGCCCAAAGTTGCACGTAGGAAGCAAACAACTAAGACGAACTCACATAGTCGCCCTCCCTCAGTCCCTCGCGGAATCAGAGCAGCAGAGGAACTTGCAGACTTCCCAGTTCCCAGGTCCTTGATCTTTGACTTCAGTTTTTATTTTATTTTAAATTGTAATTAATTAAGTTGTGTATTTATAATTTTGTTGTTGTAACCTTGTTTTTGTGTGTGCGTTTTAACTGTGATACTTCTATTTTAAAATAACCTTCTATGATATACTTCACATTTTGTTTTGATTAGTTTTTTAATTTTAATTCTCATTAATAAACCTTGTTTTCAATTATATATATATATATATATATATATGTATATATATAAAACTATATATTTATATATATATATATAGCTATATATTTATAACTATATATATAATTCTATATTGTATATAACTTAGTATTGAAACTCACAATTAATGAAAAAAATTGCAAAAGAAACTAACAAAAAAAAAATAGATTTAGGCCTTAATACTAACAACAACCCTAACTACAAATAAATAAACACAACTAACATAAACCCTAACTACTATTTTTGCAAGACAGAAACTTTTTTTTGAATATTATGTTTTTTGGAAGTACTTTGAACTATTTTATCATGTTTTGGTGGTTGGGTAAACTTGGGTTGATGAATTGCAGTATCTATTTTGAATATTATGTTTTTTGTCACGTGGCGACGCCATATTTGCGCCATCGCCATCGCCATGGAAAATGGCCTGTGCGCCATGGGTTGCGCCATGCGCCATGACAACTATGACCATCATCATTACCCCAGTGGTGCAAAGGCTCCCATCTACGGTTGGGTAGGGGGGGTTAGATGTAAGTAGTCTTACCTTTGTACTAAAGCACAAAGAGACTTTTTCCGGATGACCCATAGTGAAAATTGCGTCGAAAATTGTAGACTGACGGTTGTTTCATAACAAAGAAGTGCAAACAGTTTAGTGAGCTATTTTTCATTATTCCATCATATTCCCGAGCCAAAAAATAGTGAGTCTTTGGCTGCATTGCAAATGATGGAAATTGAAATTAGCAATAAATGTGTCTTTTAAATGTTAAAAGCACATTTCTTTTTTCCTACGAAATGCTTCTTTGAAGTAAAAGTACCTTTTTCCTGTCCGAAATGCTCTGTTAGAATTCACCTCTACCTGGCACCTGCAATCTTTTCATTTATTTAGGAAAATAAACATATCATCAAGTATGAGTAACTTCTTTAAATTATGAATTTGAATTTTATGAATTACTCTGGTCTTTTAAAATGGGAGACATACTGGATAGGATGGTATTTCAGGGTAACAAGTACAAAGAAGCTGAAGAAGTCTTTGAAACTCTTTTAAACATGGAGGCTCCTCCACTAAAACCGGACCAGAAAATGTTTCATATGATGATCTACATGTACAAGAAGGCAAAGGATGATAAGAAAGCTCATCATGTATTCACTCTAATGAGTGAGCGGGGGGTCCCACAGAATACAGTCACGTATAATAGTTTGATGTCATTTAGCAGCAACTATAAGGAGGTTTCCAAAATCTATGATCAGGTTTTGTTTGTTAATTTTTTGCTTCCATCCAATTTCTATTATTTCTTGTGCACTATACTATGGCTTTAAAGAAAATTTATGAGATTTCAGATGCAGCGAGGTGGTCTTCAACCTGATGTAGTAAGCTATGCTCTATTGATTAATGCATATGGAAAGTCTAGAAGAGAAGAAGAAGCATTAGCTGTTTTTGAGGAAATGCTTGACGCTGGTGTTAGGTAATTTTAATTCTACAGTTTAACTCATGATGAATTATTTCCTGGTTTTGGAAATTACATGTGGTAGTTTTGTTTTTACATTCTCTTTTGAGTAAATTGCACGTGGTAGTTTAGCCGGTTACTTTTTATTAGGACAAAAAATAAAAAAGGGAGAACTATCAAATAAGCCCTCGAACTTTCATAAAAAGTGCAAATAAGCCCTTTTATAGGAGTCTCTGTCCGACCGTCGCCATTTGGGGCGGTTTTCGGTGAATTTTTTTGATGAAACTTTTTGAGCATCTTCTTCATTAAGTCTAGTTTACTCATACCAAATTTCAGCTAATAATGTAATCGGGAAGGTATTTTCCATCATTTGCAATGGAGCCAAAGATTCATTATTTTTTGGCTTGAGATTATGATGGAATAAAGCAAAATGGCTCACTAAACTGTCTGCGCTTCTTTGTTATGGAGCAGCAGTCAGTCCATGCAATCTTGGACTCGATTTTCACTATGGGTCATCCAGAAACAGTCTCTCTGTGCTTTAGTACAGGGGTAAGACTGCGTACATCCGACCCCCCCTTACCCCACCGTAGGTGGGAGCCTTTGCGGCACTGGGGTAAATGAAAAAATGAAAACGAAAATGTAATCGGGAAGACAGTCAAATGAATTTTTGAAGATAACTGCGCGGTTAGACAGCGCAGTATATTTTAGAAAATCATTTGACTACCTTCTCGATTGAGTTTTTAGCTGAAATTTGGTATGTATAAACTAGACTTAATGAAGAAGATGCTCAAAAAATTTCATTAAAAAATTCCACTGGAAATCGTCCCAAACGACAACATCCGGACAAAGCCTCCTGTAAAAGGGCTTATTTGCACTTTTTATGAAAGTTCGAGGGCTGATTTGATAGTTCTCCCAATAAAAAAACATGGTAAGTATACAAAAAAAGCACCAAATATCTTGAAAAAAATGACATTAAAAGTAATAGCAATAATAAATAATTATAAAAAAATGAAACAAATTTATTGCTCCTCATTGGAGGTATCAAGTTGTTCCACTTCATGGATCTCACTAATTCACATCAATGCATGTAAAACACCCAATTACAGTGTGGTGATAGTATCATATAGGAATAAATTCACAACACTAGGCCACACAACAAATATTGAAACAAACCGGTCCTTGAGAAGTACTATCATATTTTATGTAATGTATATGAGTAAGCCTTCTTATACTGTTCAGCTAATATATTTTTTCGGAAAAAAATTGTGAACCACCTATCTGTTTTTTTCTCATTGCTTTAATCATGAAACTTAAAACGCAAGTATGTTTTCCTTTTCAGGCCAACCCAGAAAGCTTATAACATTTTACTAGATGCATTTGCGATCTCCGGGATGGTGGAACAAGCTCGGACTGTGTTTAAAAGCATGCGAAGGGACAAGTTACTTTTACCTACCACGCTAATTATTTTATCAGGCTTCTTACATTTTCATAAAGTATTAGGAATGTTCATCTGTCAAGGAAAGAAAATAGGAAGAAAGATAAAATTTATTTCCCTTCCCTATTTCCCTCTCAGGTGATTCGGAATGGAAGAAAATTAGGAGGGAAAGGAAAGAAAGAAAATTTTGTAAAATACCTTATAACAATAAATCTTATAGTGTCAGAGAAATAATATACTCAGTATACTTCGTGTTTGTTTTGAATAGCAAATTTATTATTAATTAAAAATTCAAATACTATTCTCCGTATTTTTTATGAATACAATTTTTTATTACCTTTCATATTTTCTCTCAAAATGAGAGGAGAACAACGGCTATTTTTCATTCCACTCATCTATGTTTCCCAACAATGGAAAATCACACTTTTCTCTATTTCCTTCTCATATTTACTTTCCTCCCATAATTCCCTCTTTCAAGGCATATCCTAAAAGGAGTAAAAGCAGAACAATGAAAACTTTGGCAAAAGTTGAAAGTGAACTGATTTTATGCTATCGTGTGAATTTCCAGCTGTAGCCCTGACCTATGCTCCTACACAACTATGCTCACGGCATACATAAATGCTTCTGACATGGAAGGTGCTGAGAAATTCTTCATAAGAATTAAACAAGATGGATGTGAACCCAATGTTGTCACATATGGGACACTCATCAAAGGGTATGCAAACACAAACAATCTTGAGAAAATGATGGAGAAATATGATGAAATGCGGTTTTCTGGCATTGAGCCCAACCAAACTGTCTTTACAACAATCATGGACGCATATGGTAGGAATAAGGATTTCGGGAGTTCTGTTTCTTGGTTCAATGAGATGGTCACATGTGGCATCCAACCTGATCAGAAGGCAAAGAACATTCTCTTGTCTCTTGCTAAGACAGTTGAAGAGCAGACAGAAGCTAATGAGCTTGTGGGAAATATAAACAGGGAGATGATGGTTGAAAATATCCCTTGCTATAGTAATGAAGATGATAACAAATATGAAGATGATTATGAAGACGAAGATGAAGAAGATAGAGAAGACGTTGAGGATTACAGTCATAGCTCGGCATGCAAGTCAAACGAAATTAATAGGTGTGAGTGTCTAACATGAGGTGTTAACTATGTATTGTAAGTTTCTCATTTCTTTTTGAAGGAATACGTTTCTCATTTCTATTTACTTGGGAAATGCGATTTTCTTTTATTGCGAATTGTCCAAGTAATGTCTGTTCATTTATAATCTGTCTCAGTTCTGCAGTTTATTTTGAGAGTTTTCAATAATATATGCACTACTTTAAAATCTTTATTATCATATTAATTGCGCAACATTACAATTACAATTGAATATGCACAATGGTAGGGCAAGGCAAACTTTGAGAGGAGCTTGTGCTAATTACAAAATTAGGCGTTATCAATAACATATGGCACAGTTTTGATTGAGAATTATGATACAATTACATATAAATACTACAGAGTACTATTTAAAGTTTGCTTTAAAAAAAAAGATGAGCATGTATAGTATTATATATGGCATGCTCTAATCTACAGCCTCTCAAAAAAAAAATCTACAGCCTTGCTTAAAAGAATCAATTTTAACCACTAATTTTCATTTTAGAACATTAAGAAGAGAAATAGGAAGGAAGAGATAATAAAAAAATCTGTTATAAACCTCGAAGGTTAAAATGAAAAAAGCCTATTTTGTGTATTGAAGTCTATTTTATGAGAAAAATAAAAAAGAGAACAACATTTGAGAAGAGAACTATCAAATAAACCTTCGAACTTTCATAAGAAGTGCAAATAAGCCCTTTTATAGGAGGCTCTGTCTGGCCGTCGCCATTTAGGGCGGTTTCCGATGGAATTTTTTGATGCAATTTTGTGAGCATCTTCTTCATTAAGTCTAGTTTACTCATACCAAATTTCAGCTAAAATCTCAATTTTGAAAGCAGTCAAATGAAGATCACTGCGCAGTTAGACAGCGCAGTATATTTCAGAAACTTATTTGATTGTCTTCTCGATTGAATTTTTATCTGAAATTTGGTCTGGGTAAACTAGACTTAACGAAGAAGATGCTCAAAAAAATTCATCAAAAAATTCCACCGAAAACCGCTCCAAATGGCGATAGCCGGACAGAGCCTCCTATAAAAGAGCTTATTTGCACTTTTTATGAAAGTTCGAGGGTTTATTTGATAGTTCTCTCTTATTTCTATGAAAATAAGAACACTTATTATATGTAGGAAATGATATACAAGAAGAGTGAGGCTAAACGAGAAAATAGGAACCTGATGACCCTCTCTGCCACAAACAAAATTTTAATATTCTATTCTTTCACTCTTTATTTTTCTATGATTGTTTTAGTTTTTTGTTAATACAACATAGGAGAAAATCTTTAATGCAGAACAAAAAAACTCTTTAAGAAGTACTCGGTATTTTCGTTCCAATCAAAATGTCCAAACATCAATTCCGGAAATTACTCCAAATAGTACTAAAACTATGAAAAAAAACCTAAAATAGGACTTGTTATGTTTTTATCCAAAATAGGACCATATTAGTCTTATTGGAAACATACCTATTTTTTCATTCCATTCTTACCCCTCCTTTAAATATGAGTAAAAGGTAATCAAAAGTCATAATTAAATGTTTTAATTCATATAAATTCGTAAAAAATAACAAAAAACGTAGAAAAATAATAAAAAAATTAATAAAATATTTATAAAAATAAAAAATAAAAATAAAATGCCATTTTCTAAAAACTGCCATTTTTTCTGAAAATACCAAAAAATGGCATATTACTCTTTAAGAATGCCAACATTTTCATTTGAATCTGCCATAAATATGGCATTCGTAATGGATGTGGCATGTTTTTCCCTGGTGACTGGAGGTGGTGTTGTTGGGGCGTTAGAGGCGGCGGTAATTTTTTTTTTCGATTTTTATTTTTTAAAAAACAATTAATTTTTTTAAAAATATTATTATATAAGTATTTTTATTAATTTTTAGTATCTTTTATTATTTCAATATGAATTAAAACATTTCAATAGCAACAAGGGTATATTTGTCCAACACACACATAATTAGTCATATCAAAACATAGTTTACTTTTTTGTCCTATTTGTGAAAAGTGACTAGCTTTTAGTCCAATTTTGACAATTAACTCATTCAATAAAAAATTAGTAAAAAGGAAAAGGGGAAACACAAGGAATTGAGAATTTGCACTTAAGTCCTATGCTAAACTATATTGTCTACATTTTCTTTATATAGATACTAATAATACTATCATACTACCTCCGTTATTTAAAACTTTGTCAATAATAATAATAATAATAACAATAATAAGAAGAATAATAATAAGAATAATAATAAAAGTAGTAATACTAATAATAGTAGTAATAATAATAATAGTAACAATACTAATAGTAACAATACTAATAGCAATGGCAACGGCAGCGATGACGACGGCGGCAGCAGCGGCAGCAGCAAGAACAACAACAACAACACCAATAACAACAAAAACAACACCAACAACACCAACAATGCCAACACCAACAACGCCAACACCAACACAAACAACAACAGCAACAACAACATAAACAACAACAACAACAACGACGACGACGACGACGACGACAACAACAACAAGGCCCAGGGGACGTACGCATCCTAGCGTAGGCAAGTACCTTGGCCCAGGAGCAGCGTGAGTGCCTCGTCTCGCGGGACTTTGGACCCAACGGGAAACAAGAAGCAAGCTCATGGGGACGAACGTCCCCACCCCTTGGCGGGAAGGCAAGATTCTGGCGGGAAGCGCATTTATTGCAGAAGATTTGGTGGTTGGGATCAAGCCATCCATAACCCGCCACGTCAGCACATCTAACTACCCATTGGCTGTATAAATAGTAGCATTTATTTCATTGTAAAGGGTTGACAACTTAGCACTCTACCATTATAGCATTCATATCAGCTCGTAGCATGGCAATTGTACGAACGGCCTCACGCCTTATAATATCAGTGTATTGGATCATTTTACTTGGGCCTCCTCTCACTTGTTAATCATCTACTCTTCACCTTTCCCTTCGAAATCCTTGGGTTACATGTTGGCCTACGGATTGAAGGAATAAACCTCAACACTGGCGCCGTCTGTGGGAAACTGATCAAAAAGTTATTCCAAAACCAAGCTCTTAGCTAAAAAATCACCTTAACAATCTAAAACAAGTAAGATGGCAGGAAACAATGCAGGGAATTCTCAGGACCTCTCCGAACAACTGTCACACAGTAGAAGAGTCTGTGCTCATCCAGCGGGCGCACAATCCAGCAGCTTGTGGAGCCACAGGGATTTCGGGGTGCTTACTGACATGACTCCCCACAAGGTCCGACGGGACCCCAATGCCCTGAGGGAAATGGCGGACAACATCCGCCGCTTGGCGGACGAACGGGAATCAGAGCGTGTGTACTCCGCCAACACAGAGCAGACGCCGCTCTCTCCTATTCACTCCATGTAGACGCTCGGCGAGCGTACGTGCGAGAATGCAGATTCTCACTCCTCAGTCCACACGAGGATCGTTCGGAATACCCGATCCCCAGACATGGGGGGAATACCAGACGCAGGACCTTCGGAGGGACGCAGCAGTAGGCGGTCAGCGACCGCACCCTGTGATGCCCCGAAATGAACACATGGCCAGGGAACAGACCCCCACGCTCAGTGGTTTGGGGCAGGAGGCCCATGTCATCTACAGGTAGCGTGGTGCTGGCGCCGTGCGTACGGAGGATGCCTTAGCATTGATAACTCACGCAATTTGTTATAGTGACCCACGAGATGTGATGCTCGTGGACCTTCAGAGGCAGATAAACGAGTTGAGCCAGCGAGCAGAGACTGGTCCGACTCAACCCAAGATCACACTATCATCTCCCTTTTCTGCCAGGAAAATGGTTGTGGAGATCCCGCGGGACTGCAGGCCGCCCGGCGGATTGATCTACAATGGGACTGTGGACCCCAAGGATCATCTACTTTCTTTCCAAGGAGGGCTCTCCATGTTGGGGGCCTCCGATGAAGCCATTTGCAGGCTCTTCTTCAGCACTCTTTGGGGACCAGCTCAGGAATGGTTCAGGCAGCTCAGACCCGGAGCCATCGATAGCTTTGAGCAGCTATCTCACCAGTTCATGGTGCAGTTCGCTTCCAGCACCACACCAAAGAAGCATTTCAGCTGGTTGACGAGCGTCCGCCAGAACAAGGGGGAGTCCCTATCCGCCTTCCTTGTGAGATTGAGGGATGAGACTCTGAAGGTCGAGGACCTCACGGAGTGTACCGACATTACCCTCTTCACAAACACCTTGATAATCGAGGATCTTTACAGGGATCTCATGAGGAATCCCGGAAGTAGTTACGCTGAGGTGCTCGCTAGGGCATAGAAATACGTGGCAATCGAGGAGGAGATTGCTTAGAGGCATGGGGTGACAGCCCCCACAACTCACAAACTGACGGACCACCTGGGCCCCAGGCCGATGGACACTCCTGCACCAAAGAAGAAGAACGGAGTATAACACTTGAAGTAAAAAGATCAGAAGAAGGGGGGTATGTACCTCGAGGGTCAGTGCCAGCGCATGGCGGACGGCCTTAGTCGAGCTGCGGGGTGGCTGTTGTACCCCGGTTTGGAGGGCAACCTCCCTCCAGATATCCATCACCGGACGGCCCAGGGAGGACAACCCGGCGTCAAAGGCCTTAGGGCCAGTAGAGTCAGGCCGGGACCTCTTCATCCTCTTCTCCTTGGCCTTCTCCCCGCCTGGAGGGGGAGCGACGTTCAGCGGCTCAACATCCCGAGGGGGGGGGGGGGGGGGCTCCAGGCCTTTCCCCATAACCACCTGAATCAGAGCTTGTTTGGCCTCTCCAGTACGCCGGTCGGTCTGGGAACCAGCGGATGATACCTCCTCAAAAGATTGGGCAGCCCTGGCCTTATCTAACGCGGCCTAGAGTTTGGCAGCTTTTGCTTCCCGTTTGGCGATGAGAAGATCTTGCTCCATATGTTCCTTGGTAGGGGGAAGTACTGGGACAAGAAAAAAATACAAAGTGTTAGAACCGGGCGATGCGAATCTCAATGGTGCTTACCTCAGGGACAGGACCGTCCGGGCCCACAAGATAACCAGAAGCGAATGTTAATCCGGGGGACACGGGCGGTACCTATCCCTGCGTCGGAGAGCACTTTGGTGGTCATAAATTCCTTCAAGTCCTTGACGCCGCCCGTCTTTAGCTTCCGACCATCTTCTTCCAGCTGGTCAGTAATCTGGGGCCACCCGATCTTGGGGGGAATCCATTCCACCTCATGGGGAGCTGATCTTCCG